ATTAATATAATCGATTGATGTACGTTTTGAAAAGCCTGTGCTAATCAGGCATGTAATTTTTCTCCAATTGTACACAGCGATTGTGGCCATGTGTTCAACACAGTGCAATTTTGATAACTAACCAACCATGTAATAATTTCAGATCAAGTTTGGCGAACCTCATTTCTAATTATTATTGTTTCCCAGGAATGTAACCCACCATTAAAAAAAAAAAAGAAAGCTACATTTTATTTTGCCTTTTTCAGCATAGCTGAAAGTTACTGTAGATTTCAAATAATTTATTTCACACATCAACTGAGAGTACAAAGAAACAGAAGCCCTGAAAAGCAACCTGGCTTGGTTGACATCAGATAAGCTTGTCAGAGATGTGTCATCTAGTCTCCTGGATCCTGATCCAGCATATTATTTGTCATGCAAGAAAGACTGTCATTTGTTTTGCCTTTAGTCTGACAGAAACATCCATTGGCTGAGTGACTTCAATTATTTTTTGCAAACAAAACCCTTTGTGTATCCTAGTAATGTGTTTTTGTTCATATCCAATGTCTATCTGAAGTAATGTGTTACATGAGACTATCTGGCAAATTAAAATAAATTTTTAGATATGCTAATTAAAGAATATCATGTTTTATAATACTGTTTCTGTATTTTAAAAAAGTTCTGGCTAAAAAATTAGTGCCAGACTTCAGCAGACATGTATTTTTAAAAGTTATTTTGTAAAATAAGTGTATAATATGGACTCAAAAAATGTTACTGCCCATATTAATGCATAGCTAATGCATTAAATTAATAATTTGGGGTATGATTTTAAGACTTTGTGTTTTTGACTTTATGAAAAGTAGTTTCAAACATGGATGAGATTGTTATCACTAGTTTCTCCCTCCATCTGGTACTTCATACCATTTATAAATAAGAAAAAGATTGTGGGAAGCTACTGGAATGATTGAAATTGTTCTTTCTAGAGAAAATCTGATAGGAGTATGTTTCACAGGTAGTTCGAAGAATGTCATCACAGATAGCATTTAAGTATGGTCCAGTATTTTGTTTAAACACTGTAATTAGAGTAAATAGAAATGATTTCCTATGTTATCCATAACTTTGCTCATCTTCTAACATATTCACAATGTATCCATTACATTATGCTGTATATTACCATTTGCCTATTCTCAGGTCATCCATTCCCTCTAATTTCTTTACAATTTTTGTTCCCTGGTCTCTGTCACTCTTTTCAACACTGTTCATCTGACTACCACCTCTGTTTCTATTTGTTGCCTACCATCTCTAGTATCTGCTACTAAAAAATATTCTTATCTTTTTAATTTTTTTAAACTTTATGTTATAAAAAGTTTCAAAAGTAGAATAGTATATGGAGCCCTTATGTACAATCAACTATCTTCAACAATTATTATTCATGACCATTTTTTCATCCATTATAATGGGAAGTAAACATAAGGTATGATGTTTTCATCTGTAACTGTATTAACATGCATATTTTAAAAATGAGCTATATATTAAATCTTTAACAATAATCATTTAATAGGTAATGTTCTTCAATGCCAGCAGGATCTAAAATTCATCTGTCCTACCCTCATTTCACTGCCTCTCACATTCATGACATCTTCTTTCCTTTCTATATCAAGCCTAAAGCTCATGATCAGTCATTTCAGCCACTACACATTATGCACACCTTCAATTTTCCTGCCTTCTTTCAGTTTGTTATACACTCCTGGCAGAACCACAGCCATGGCTAAAGCAAACTCTCTGCTCCATTCTTACAGCCATGCCACTAAACATGGTTGAAGAATAACTCACAACCACATTGACTGGTCCCATATTAAATTTATGACCTGTTGAGTCTTAAAGCTAACCAGCCACCATATTATATTTTCTTAGCCTGTTTCATTTTTGACTCTCCTAGATGACTGTATAGTGCCCCTTTTCTCAGATCTTTAAAATGTCTTCTGGAATCTTCACTCTGAGTTGAAGACCTTGCTTCCCTCTACACTGAGAAATCAAAGAACCCAGAAGAGAACATCCACAGCACCACTGCCACACTGTCTCCCCACCAGCATCTCCGCCTTTATACTGGCCCCTCTGGCTTCATATGATAGACTGTTAATTACTGGTCTTTACTCTCTTTTATGTTATTTTATGTTTGCACTATAAACATAAAATAAGTTATTTTATGTTTGCATTATAAAATATAGTACACTACGTTGTGCTATAATTTATCACTCTGTGATATATATATAACTATAAACAGATATATCAGTGATATATATAAATAGATATAAATATATGTGATATGTACAAATAGATAAATCTGTGACATATAAATATATATCTGTGATATATATATAGTACACTATGTTGCACTATATTTAATCACTCTCATATATATATCAGTGATATATATAAATGATATATATCTGTGATATATATACATATATCTAACATATATATTATAAAATAAAAATATATATAATTATTTTCTGTTTGCCCTAGACTTAATACCTTTTGCCTACCAAAAGACATTGCTCCAGACATTCTACCCTTCTCCACCTCACCTCCCACCTTGTCTTGCACTATTAATTTTACTCTAATGTAACATTTTATTAGCATAAAGACATACTATTATTTCTATCACCTTAAAGCAACATGTTTTTAGATTCTACGTGTGAGTGATATCATGCAGTATTTGTCTTTCTGTATTTGCCTTATTTCACTTAAAATAATGCCCTCCATTGTAACAAATGTAACAAATAGGATAATTGCATTCTTTTTATGGCTGAATAGTATTTTTACACACACGCACACACCCCACATTTTCCTTGCCCATCTGTTGATGGGCACCTAGGCTGATTCTCTATCTTAACATCATGTCGTACATGCTAATTACATGCAACTTAATGTCAGTTAAAAAATAAAAAGTATAACTTATTCTGATTCAGCTATAACCCCACCTACTGCTCAATTTGTCTACTTCCTATTGTAGCCAAATTACTGAAAAATGTTTTCTGTATCTGCTATATGTAGTATCTGCCCCAATTCTCTCTTAAGCCTTCCACTGAGGCTTTTGCTGTTCCCTCTCCACTAAAACTATTCTTGGCCTAACAGTAGGATCAGAACCTCTCGAGTTCACCCGCCTTCCTACAAATGCACTATCTTTATTGGTGTTCAGGATTCCACATGTCCTTCATTTCCTCAGTCTCCTTTGCTGGTAGATTTTCTGGTATTATAAATTAACTTGGAATGTTAATTTTAACATTCTTTTTGACTTGGAGTGTCCCAGGACTTGATACTTGGTCTTCTTCAGTTTTTCCTCCCTTTTCTCCCATATCTTATAGAATTAAATCCATCCACAAAATCTTTGGACTCAAAAATATCCAGGTTCGGACCATTTTTCTTCATCAGTGACACTACCATCCTGGTCCTACACATCATCACCTCCCATTTAAGTTGCCCAAGTAGTTGTAACTGGCCCCCCTGTTTCCATCCTTGGTAACACCATTTTAGCAATCCTGTTCTTAACACAGTAGCCAGGACAAGCCTTTCAAAATAAAACTAGATCACTTTATTACTTCAACTCAGAGCCTTTTAATAGCTTACAGTCTTATTCAGAAAAAAAAAAAAAATACTGAAGGCTTTTAATGCCTTTAAGACACTGTGACAATTGTCTCATTCTCATTTCATCCCTGCTGTCTCCTTTCTGTTTTTTGGCTTACTACAGCAGAATTGCTGGTTTCCTCTGCCTGCAACAATCTTCCTGAAGATAACAATGTGCATAATGTCATTTCCTTTTAATTCTGTTCAGAGGACACTGTCTCAAAAAGATCTTCCCTTCTGAATTTTCAGGAATCCATGATCCCCTATTCTCTATTTTTTTCCCCAAAAAACTTATAGTTTGCTACATAATTGACTACTTATGATATTTATTACTCATTATGTCTTCCCCCACTAGAAAATATAAGCTTCACAACGGCAGGATTTTGGCTTTTTTGCATGGTTCATAGTAGGTGGTCAATAAATACGACTGGCACGTAGAAGGGGGACAACTTCTTAAATGATTTTTCCCCTTCTTCTAGCAGTTTTTTACTTTCATTTCAACAATCAACACAGACCCTATGTCTTAGGGACCTGTTCTTTAGGGCATTTCCTTCTCAATTATATCCCCTTTTTAATTCATTTTTTCTTTTGCTTATTTTATCTGCTAAACTTGTTTCAGGCAAGTACAGTTGACCGTTAAACAACATGGGTGTGAACTGCTTCAATCCACTTATATGCAGATTTTTTTCAACCAAACATGGACAGAATATCCCAGTATTTATGGAGTGTAAAACTCACGTATATGGAGGGCTGCTTTCAGTATATGTGGGCTCTTCAGTGCTGACTGTGGACTTGAGTATGTGTAGATTTTGGTATATGCAGAGGTCCTGGAACCATTCTCCCAGTAAACTGAGGAACAACTGGATGTTTGATTTTTTGGTCTTCAAGTCATCTTATACTCTTTCTTCATCTTTCATCTTTTCCTAGGTATATTTCTATTTCTAGGATTTTATTTTCTCTGTCTTAGTTCCTGAAGATCTTTATGCATAATGACTGGTACAAAAAATCCTACTTTCCCCTGGAAATGTCACTTAAGAAAAATTGTAACACTGATTTCAACCTTGTCCCATTTGTCTGCCTTATAGGCAGTCTTGAAATCCTTGATTTAGATTCACCCATTTTTCAAAATCCTACTGAAATGCAGATTTTCTTTAAATTAAAGCTAATATGAAAATGACATAGTGTTACAAATCTACATATAGTTATTAGCTTATTTTTAATATGATTTTATCTATTTTAGAAAATGAAATGAATATTTGTATGTACATATATATTACATATATGTACATTTCTATAATTAATGGTTTTATTTTATCTGACCTTTACTGAAAGTAATCAATTTCTTAATCGTTCTCTATTAAGGATCTAAAATTGTTTCATGTTCTTATCTTTAACAGGTCATTGCTTTAGTGATGGATATATTTACAGATGTGGACATTTTCAAAGAAATAGTTGAGGCATCAACTCGAGGAGTATCTGTATACATTCTGCTTGATGAGTCCAATTTTAATCATTTTCTAAATATGACTGAGAAACAAGGGTGTTCAGTTCAGCGTCTCAGGGTAAGAATTATGTGTTTCTTCTCAAATATTTTGTGTGTCATTTTCAACTCAGTCAAGTTTAAGGCATGTTAAGATAGATGAATATAAAAGTTAAAAAGAAAAAAGTATCCGTATTTAAGGTTATGGAATGACTGATCACAGAAAGGTCCCCTGTACTTTTCAGAATGTGACAGGAAGCACATCTTCATGAGGGCTTTATATTGTGCTTTTATTGATTAATATTTAATACATTAGTTTTCCATGCACAGCTTGGAAACCAGTGACTCAGGTGCTTCTATGGTTCAGTATGTATTGCTTATCAGAATCATTTGGCATAGTATTTTCTGTTATTTTTGACTTTTTAAAAGTAAGGTTAATTTTAACTTTAGTTAATTTATCATCAAGGCATTATAACCAAAAAGGGCTTATTATAGTCAGATCCTGAGTGATTTTTGATGCCATTCTATGTAAAAATAAAGGGAAATCTCCTATTTAAGCTGTGTTGAAATGTATATTTTAAATGATTACTTTTCTTAAGGATTTAATTTTGGGAGTACTTTTTTAATTACCTCAGGTTTTTTTTTTTTTTTTTTTTTGCATTATGGTTCTATCATGATATGGATTTTGGTTTTGAAAATATTGTTTTCCTAGCCATAATTTTTGCTTTTTATTTATATATAATTCTAGAATATTCGAGTGCGAACAGTAAAAGGCCAAGATTATCTTTTTAAAATGGGGGCAAAATTCCATGGAAAAATGGAACAGAAATTTTTGTTAGTTGACTGCCAGAAAGTGATATACGGTTCTTACAGGTAAGATCATTATGTTTACCTTCAGTATTATCAATCATTTAGATGATTTATTAGATTCACATTTCAATATAATCTGTTAAGCTCTTTTTAAAAAGTAAAAAAAAAAAAAACCACACACACACACTTGCATGGGCGGTTACAGACCTAGGTTTGAGTTATGGGTCTGCCACTAAAGAGCATCAAGATCTTAGGCAAATCATATAACTTCCTTGAGCTTCAGGTTCTTCATCCAGAAAATGAAGACATTGACCAATATCTAAGCTTCCCTACAGCTCTATGGTACCAAAAGTGGTTTTACTCCTTTTGGAAACATTACATAGTATGGATTTAGTTACAATCATTTGTAAAAACAGAAGCTATTTACCACTGTAAATAGTGGTATTGGATTTTTCTTATTTTGTATTCTTGAGAATCTGATCAAAGCAGAACTGGCTGCCCACTCTAGGTGAGGCTAGCTTGAGAGTGTAAGCGCTGCCCTAATCTTCTCTTATAAATAAATCCCTGGCTTCAGTCCTGAACGAGATACATAGTGATGCTTCATAAACAGGCAAATGAAAGCAACAGCAAACACTCATGAACTGCAAGGTCGTGTAGCTTCATTATTAAAGCCCAAGGGAAGAATCCAGAAGAGCTATGGATGTAAACATGACTGTGTAAGGCAAAATATTTGTCTCCTTTCTTAGTAAGTCCATGAAAAGGAGGTAACACATTGAAATGGTGGCCTTGGGCAGGTTCCTTTATTTGGTTGTACTTTAGTTTGCTCAGCTATAAAATGAGGAGAATCATAGAACCTGCCTCATGTCATTGCTGTGGGGATTAGATGAGTTAATGCATCCCAAACCCCTAATGTTAAATATTATTTCAGGACTTGATCTGTTACTTTCTTCCAACTCTCTCTTTAATCTCTGGCCCCTTTTTTAAAAACATGCTGTTGGAGTGCCATATGAAAATATGTTACGAGCAGAAAATACAACTAGTGCTTGAAATTAGTGAGTCCTTTTAAAGACTCATTATATGTGAATATACTTGTCCAGACTCACTTGGTTTTAGAGAGTTTTTCATTCAACTTTTACTTAAAGTTGAGCATTCACCTGACTTATAGAATGATTGTTATTTAAGCTCATCATAATTAATACTGTTATTGTTCTTTAACTTTTAAGATTATCTTCAACAGTCAATTTACCTCAACTTTGTTTTGCTCTCACTACATATTAATAAGTGCTAGTGTTGCAATGACTGTAGCTGAGCTACCTTTGATTAATGTGGGGAAAATCAAACAACAGCAGTGACCAAAAAATGTACATATATATATATATATATATATATATATATATATATATATATTTATTTATTTATATATATTTATATATATATTTATATATACGTATATAAATGTACATATATATGTACATTTTTTGGTATATATATATGTATGTATATACATACAACATACATATATATATGTATGTATGTATATATATGTATATATATGTATATACATATATATGTGTATGTGTATATATATGTATATACGTGTATATACGTATATATACACGTATATACATATATATACACGTATATACATATATATACACGTATATACATATATATATGTATGTATCTTTCTGTCTGTATCAGAAGCCAGAGGCAAAATTAATGTAATTCCCAGGACCATAGATTATAAAAATTCATCACAACTCTTAACTAACACTCTATTCTCTTTGTTATATCAAATTCGTTTTAAGTATATATTTTAAAATAATGCCTGGTTGTCAATCATTGCCCTTTTTATTATTTCTCTGACATTATCATAGACCTTTCCTATTGCTAACAATATGTGAACAGGATGTGGTAGACTAGCCATGAACTAGTTTGGTTAAAAGTGAATTTCTTTTTGGTTTAAAAACAGCCTTTGTCCCTCATATTCTAGTATTGCCATTGTTTTCCTCATAGGCAGGTTGGAAATGCCTTCTTTAATTCAGTATTCTTTGCCATGGGATGTCATTGGTCTCTAAACTCCTACCATTCCTGGAGAGGCCCAGAATCTATATCTATGACAGTTACACGTTGTGTGACAGCTCACTCATCTTGATGATGATTTTATCAGGAAAACATGAGGATTTTCTTCATAACATGATACTAACATTGAGGAATGTTTAATAAAGCATTGTCTCTAAATCAAACTGAGAGATAATTTTATAGGTTTTTAAATTTCTAATCTCATGAGGTGGATAAAAGTTACTTTCAAAAGACAAGTTGACTGAAGTTGGCAACTCTCAGGTTCCATTTTTTTTTATACTTTAAATTCTGGTGTACATGTACAGACATGCAGGTTTGTTACATAGGAATACACATGCCATGGTGGTTTGCTGCATCCATCACCCTATCATCTATATTAGATATTTCTCCTAATGCTATCCCTCCATTATGCCCCCAGCCCCTGCTATCCCTCCCCTAGTTCCCCAGCCCCCAACAGGCCCCAGTCTGTTATGTTTTCCTCCCTGTGTCCATGTTGTTCAACACCCACTTATGAGTGAGAGCATGCAGTATTTGGTTTTCTGTTCTTGTGTCAGTTTGCTGAGAATGGTGGTTTCCAGCCTTATCCATGTCCCTGCAAAGGGACTCATCCCTTTTTATAGTTGCATAGTATTCCATGGTGTATATGTGCCACACTTTTTTTTTTAATCCAGTCTAACATTGATGGGTGTTTGAGTTGGTTTCAGATCTTTGCTATTGTGAACAGTGCTGCAATAAACATATGTGTGCATGTGTTTCTTTATAATAGAATCATTTATAATCCTTTGGCTATATACTCAGTAATGGGATTTCTGGGCCAAATGGTATTTCTGGTTCTAGATCCTTAAGGAATTGCCACACTCTCTTCCACAATGGTTGAACTAATTTACACTCCCACTAATAGTGTAAAAGCATTCCTGTTTCTCCACATCCTCTCCAGCATCTGTTGTCTCTTGATTTTTCAATGATCACCATTCTAACTGGCGTGAGGTGGTTTCTTGTTGTGGTTTTGATTTGCATTTCTCTAATGACCAGTGATGATGAGCATTTTTTTTCATATGTTGGCTGTGTAAATCTCTTCTTTTGAGAAGTGTCTGTTCATATCCTTTACCTACTTTTTGATGGGTTATTTTTCTCTTGTAAATTTTAAGTTTTTTGTAGATTCTGGATGTTAGCCCTTTCTCAGATGAAGAGATTGCAAAAATTTTTCCCATTCTTTTGGTTGCTGGTTCACTCTACTGATAGTTTCTTTTGCTGTGCAGAAGCTCTTTAGTTTCCTTAGATCCCATTTGTCTATTTTGGCTTTTGTTGCCATTGCCTTTGGTGTTTTAGTCATGAAGTCCTTGCCCACGCCTATGTCCTGAATGGTATTGCCTAGGTTTTCTTCTAGGGTTTTTATGTTGTTAAGTCTTATGTTTAAATCTTTAATCCACCTGGAGTTAATTTTTGTATAAGGTGTAAGGAATGGATCCAGTTTCAGCTTTCTACATATGGCTAGCCAGTTTTCCCAACACCATTTATTAAATAGGAAATCCTTTCCCCATTGCTTGTTTTTGTCAGACTTGTCAAAGATCAGATGGTTGTACATCTGTGACGTTACTTCTGAGGCATCTGTTCCGTTCCATTGGTCTATATCTCTGTTTTGTTACCAGTACCATGCTGTTTGGATTACTTATCCATCACAATGAAGTCAGCTCCCTTCCTGGGATGCAAGCCTGGTTCAACATATGCAAACCAATAAATGTAATCTATCACATAAACAGAAACAAAGACAAAAACCCCATAATTATCTCAGTAGATTCAGAGAAGGCCTTCGACAAAATTCAATAGCCCTTTATGCTAAAAATTCTCAATAAGCTAGCTATCAATGGAATGTATCTCAAAATAATAGGATCTATTTATGACAAACCCATAGCCAACATCATACTGAATGGGCAAAAGCTGGAAGCATTCCCTTTGTAAACAGGCACAAAACAAGGATGCCATCTCTCACCACTCCTACTCAACGTAGTATTGGAAGTTCTGGCCAGGGCGATTAGGCAAGTAAAAGAAATAAAGGAATTTAATTAGGAAAAGAAGAAGTCAAATTGTCTCCATTTTTATACAACATGATTGTTTATTAGAAGATCCCATCGTCTCAGCCCAAAATCTCCTTAAGCTGATAAGCAACTTCAGCAAAGTCTCAGGATACAAAATCAATGTGCAGAAATCACAAGCATTCCTATACACCAATAACAGACAGAGAGCCAAATCTTGAGTGAACTCTCATTCATAATTACTACAAAGAGAATAAAATATCTAGAAGTACAACCAACAAGGGATGTGAAGGACCTCTTCAAGGTGAACTACAAATCACTGCTCAAGGAAATAAGGGAGGACACAAACATGGAAAAATATTTCATGTTCATGGTTAGGAAGAATCAATATCATGAAAATGGCCGTACTGCCCAAAGTAATTTATAGATTCAATGCTGTCCCCGTCAAACTACCATTGACTTTCTTCATAGAATTGGAAAAAAAACCACCTTAAATTTCATATGGAACCAAAAAGAGCCCATATACCCAAGACAATCCTAAGCAAAAAGAACAAAGCTGGAGGCATCATATTACCTGACTTCAAACTATACTACAAGGCTACAGTAATCAGGTTCCATTTTTAACCACACATAAAGATCATCATCGTTGAGGCCCATGCTGCAACCAGCATACTGTTACTATTTAAACTCAGTGGACTGTAAACCCCCGCCAGGAACTCAGAATTTTTAAGTCAACTTCATGACTAATGTCTGACAGTGTGTGTGTTTAGTGGATCTGCGAGTAGATACTTTTTTATCCATGAAAATATTTACACATTTTTCTTTAAAAATCAAATATTAAAATATGTAGAGTGCAAAACAGTGGTTTTTGTTTTCCGTCTCTAGCCACCTCTGGTCCTGATCTCCAGATGCAGTTGTCAGCTCTTTTAGTTCTTCTGATACTTATTT